CAAGCAGACTGAAGAGAGGTCCTGCTCATCCACTGCTTGCTGGTTGTCCCAGTGGAGCCCAGATCCTGACAGCAGGAATGACAGCATGAAAGTGAGAAACACCATCAGGCTGCTACTGTGCAAATGTGTTCTCCTGGGAGCTCTGAGAGAAAGGAGATGGCATGGCAGGCCAGAGTCGAGTCTCTCACTCCTGTGCCTTGCTGCAAGTTGTTGACACATGAACAGGGAACCTTGTGCCACTTAGCACAGCCATGGCAGTGGGAAGTGTGTGAAGGCAAATGGTCCGGGTGGGATTTTCCTCCCTGCGTGCAAAAATCCTTCTCTCTGTTAGACAGCCAAGTAGGCTTACAGCTGGGCTTGTCTGGCTGCCAGCGTGGAGTAACTGAACGCTCCTGCAAGTACTTGCTTTTCTTGCTGTCAGCCTCCCTCCTAACTCTCTGATTCGTCATGGGTATCTGGCATTTCACGGGTATTTCCTAAAGGTCAGTGAAGTGTGTTTTGCAGCACGCATGGGTCTGATTGCTGGCATGGGCTCTGAGGGAGGCATCCCTCCCCAAATCACAGTAAATCAAGGACGGAAGGAGAAATGTGCCTAACTCTGTACTTGACCAAAAATCGTACACCGATGTTTTTCTGTGTTCCTGGACATATATGGTGGCAGAAATGTCTTCCTCGTGCACTGAGTGGCAATACACAGTTGAGCTCTGTCTGGCACATGCAGTTATCCTGGCGGGCTGCAAGCATTGGCCTGGCCCAGGAACCCAGCACAAGCAGCTCAAAGTTGGCTGTGCCTGTGTATGTTCTGGGATAAAACAGTGGCAGCGAAGAACATCTTGCTGACAGAAATATCTGCTTCGGGTGAGCTGGCTAATGCTGAGAGGAAACAGGCCCTTCTGGTAGAGCTTTGGGCATGGCTGAAGGTTTGTTCCTACCTTTGCCTGTGACTGCCCACATGTAGGAGGTTTCTTTTAAATGGTGCAGGCAGCATGACTCACTGCACCCATCTGCCTGGGGGAGTTTACAAACCAGCTTACGCTGCAGCCAAAACCGACCATGGTAGCTTCATGACAGGGTCTCGGTTTGTGTCTCAGCATTAGCTTGCTGTACAGCACATTTTACCCGGTTGTGGAGACCTGTTTCTGTGCCAAAACGCCGGGATGGTGGGTCATGGGACACATGCAACTCCTCTGCACCATTTGTGCCATTGTAAATGGAGAGGCAGCAAGGAGTATCTTCTAAAGCATCTGCTGTCTGTTTGCAGGTGTTTTTAACCCGGCTTGGTGAGTGCCCCTCTGCTATCGCCTGAACTGGAACTTTGATGCATCTAAAAATCAGGCCTTGGTCAGCAAGTACCCAGCATTAAAGTGCCTTTGCAAATAGGGCTCATGGTCCTAAATCACCTGAGTAATCTTAGTAATGCACATTTGTCTCCTGGAAGATGGGATTGTTCTTCAAAAACTCAACTGTTAGTCTTTAGCCTTAAGACTAAGTAGTTGGAGTTTTGGTTAAAACCTTAGTGGCTTCTGTGGAAGTTAACATTAAAACGAAGGCCACGATGAGACTAGGATAAGCTTCGTGGTCTGTGTGTGTGCTATTACAGGGCAACCGTTCAGAGGGGGCAGGCTGAACTGAGGTTTCCAGTAAAATTTGTGACATGCTCATGAAGGAATGTGCAATCAAAATACAGACTGGCTAGTCTGCACATAGGGGCAGAACAAGTGCTGCAGACATGGGCTGCTGCAGCTACATGTAAACTTAACAGTTAAACCAAGAAAACACCACCCATGCCAGGCACTTAGCTTTTTCTTTTGTATCGGTGCAATACTTCATTTGATCTCCTCTTTCCCACCCTGCTGCAGCCCTGAAGACTTTTATTTCTAATCTTCTGCAGTTTGAATAATTTCTGAATAGAAATGTGAAGTTTCTGAGACCTCCAAGAGATTCTGGGCCTGGAGAGTTGCATCCAAGCAGTGTCTCAATGCTAGTTAGTTACAGCTCTGAAGATTGCGTATAGCAATGGGATTTGCACTGGCTTTTATGTGATATGAAGCATGATTTAGATAGTTATGCCTGGTTTAGTACTGTGATGAGTTTGTGCAGCAAAGATGAGCAGTTTGCAAAGACAAGGGGACGAGAACACTATGGTGGGAAGGCATTGGGGCATCCCTTAGCTGGGAGGGGGAGGAATAGGAAGGATGCACAGGTGGCCTTCTGCCCACTCGGTACGTGATGTATCTCATGGAGTAACTGTGAGAAAAGTCTTTCTTCTGGGGAGCAGCGTGTATGTCAGCAGGAAATGGGAGTGGGGCTGGAGAAGGTGTGGATAGGGCTGGGGACAGAGTGAGGTGAGCTTTATCCCAGAGGCAATCTAGAGGGGAAGGTAAAGCCATAAAGAAAAGGAGGGTTGACTGAAGAGCTGTGGGAAGGGGTTTGCCTGCAAATCAGGCATCTGTTTTACCCTGCAGCAATCTCCTGTGCTTGAGAAATCTCCATCTAAGGATTCCTGAAGTGGGGAGATGGAAATGGGAATGAAGGCTCAAGCAGACAGACTAGCCTTACTGCACTCCTCTGGTTTAAGATCTGATGGATATTAGCCCTGTTTTTAAAGCGCATAATGGTGCACTGATTTTATGACTCATCTTTCAGAGCCGGTGTTTTCAGTACTGTTAGCAATACTGCAGTTTGGAAGTCAACCTGGGGTTGGAAACCTGGGAATCCCTGGGACACGGAACCCTGTGGCGTACGTGCGCGATGGGATGCAATGCTGCTTTCAATTTGTGACAGCTCACATAATTGAGGACACTGCCTTGCACTTTTAACTTTGAATTGCAAATACCATCATGATTCTTCTGTGTTGGGAGACATGTCTGCGTGGCTTAAAAGCTGCTCTGCCACTTCAGGTTTGAGTATGGGTGTGAGATGAGGGTAGATATTCAAACCAAATGTGAATTCAAATTGCGGACCATGGGGGCAAACTGGAATTACGGGTCCCAGAGGTAGGGTATCTCTCAAGAGGAACTGTGTGTGTGCGTGTTCCCTGCCAAGCCCTCCCTTCTGCTTTCACGATACCAAATGATGTGTTCTTGCTTTGGAAAAACCAAGGGGTTTTAGATTTGCTTTTTCATGAAAGTGAGGAGAGAAACAGTGTGAGGAGGAGAGGAGGGAAGCGACATTTGGGGGGGCTTCAGGCATGATGGGGCTGACTGTTGTGCCATTGCTGCACAGGCTGGGCAGTACTTCTTCGAAGCGTGATTTCTTTTCTGGTTTTCCTGGAGTGCCTGGCAATTGCAGCTAGACACAAGGAGACATTTTTCTGATGTTCTTTGTTTAACAGAAGAGGAATTTATTGCAAGTGCATTTCAAAATGCGGGAGTCCAAGGACCATCTGTCTTGAGTGTTTTAGTGGAAGTGGGGACAGCTCACAGTGGCTGCTTTATTGATGGGTACAGAGAGTTTTGTGTGGACCTGTGACTGCAGCCTGCCTCTCTAAAGGAAGTCACTGATCTAGCTGGCACAAGCCAGTTGTGGCCTGGTGCCTCTGCCTCGGGTAGGACTGTGTAGCACCAATGTGGGCATGTTCAGCAGAAGAATTGAGCCCTTGCTGGGCATGGATGCTGCCATCCCATATTGCCTTTGAGAGCAGACCCTACCTGCCAGACTGGTATCAAGAGGTGCTTCTGGTGCTATTGGGTGTCTAAGCTGTGGCTGGATTACGCTGAGGAGATGGCATGTCGATGGCTGGGGAATCTGCCCTGCTGGGGCCAGTCATGTGTGGAGTGGAGCCAGGAGGAAACTTGAGTTGCTCTGAGCGAGCTGTTGGGAAAGTGTTCCTCAGAGCTGGGCACATCTCAGCACCTGCCTTTCCCCTCTCGCTGTGCTGACCTGCGTCTTGCCCTGGACTACATGCTGCAAGGGTGCCAGCGGTGGGGAGCTGCCAACTTGGCACTTGAACAGTGGAGCTGACGCAACTCATTTAGCAGAGGGATACCATGTGGTGGAGAGCCCCCCGCTGCTACTGACTCGCAGAGCTGGTATTGCCTCCATTAGGGAAGAGCTGACAGCTGGGAGCTGGGATCTGCACGCTCAGCAGAGTATAGTGTGGCACCAAACCCTGACAGGACACAGCAGCAGTCCCATGGCAGCTGTGGCAAGCGCCCAGGGAGAGGGGCGTTAGGGAATCCTCTCAAGTATTTTTACCTGTTTCTAAATGTTGTTCTGGCAGCTAAAAGAGGCACCCTGTGGTTGGCCAGCCATCGCAGAACAGCAGGGTCTCTCCAGCTCCTAGGTAGCTCCAGCTCAAAAATCGCAGTACTGGAGCAATGTCTAGACAGCTGTAATGGGCAGGGTTGCACGTTCAAACCATCTTCTTTCTGGTTCATACCAAAGAAGGTGGTCTTGGCAGGGTCCTTGTAGCATCCTTCTGCTTGAACTGAAAGACAGCTGCTTTTTGGGTAGCTTTGTAGGTGTGAATGGCTGTAGTATGCAGCCATGTAGTATTCACATGTAGTATGTGAATAATAAGGCTTTTATCTGTAGCTTTCTCTATCTGTCTACCAATTATCCTGCCGATGCTACAGGTCAGCTTCTTCCCTTCCATGGAGATTGAAGGTAAACTTCTGGATCCCATCTGCCCCCAAAGCCTAATTAAAACACCTACTCCTAAAACCTCTGTCTCATTAAGCTCCATCTAGATGCTATGAATCCCTAAGGAGCTCTCAAGTCTGTGTGCAGTGATTCAAAGCAGAGGCAGGAAAGATGGCAGATGATATGTTTGTGTGGAGCAGCATGTCTCCAAGCTGTAATCACCAGGACATTCACCATGGTTACACGGATGAGACCTGCTTGGGTTGCAGGACCAGTAAGCCCTCTTACAGTGCTCACTTGCATCCGTCATGGACATTTACTTGGTGAGGGGGAGGCGAAAGGCATGCTAAAAGCAAAAATTGGAAAAACTGCCCTGCTGATGCTTAAATGTTTTCATTCTTTTCCCTTATTCACAGGAGAACTGCTGAGTCAGCCGAGACCAGAGGGACTGACAGAGATCATCTGTCCCAAGAACGGCAGCGAGCGAGTTAATGTTGCCTTGGTTTACCCCCCCACTCCTACTGTGGTCAGCCCTTGTTCCAAGTGAGACCTTAAAGCAGACCCCCATTCCCCTGTCAGTAGGCACCAGAAAGCCTACGTAAAGCATACCTTCACTAAGCATTTTTTCTGGAAGGTAGCAGCCCCACAGTCTGGGGGCAGTTCTAATTATTTGTGGATATAGACAGCCCGCTCAAAGGATAAGAGGTACAGTAAAATGGGTTGAGGTGTTTCCTGAGCTGTGTTGTGGCAGATGCAAGACACACATAATGGGCAGGACAGATCAGGAGATTATACAATCATGGCCAGGTTTAGGTAGGATGGGACCTTGGGAGGTCTCTGTCCACCCCCTGCCCAAGCAGGGCCACCCTCACAGCCAGGTCAGGTTGCTTGGGACCTTGTATAGGCAAGGACTGATGACTGCCAAGAATGGAGGTGCGACCACCTCTCTGGACTCTAGAATTACGCTGTTCTCCTGGGGCAGAACTTTTTTCCTTCTGTCCCATCTGAGTCTCCCTTATTACAGCTTGGCTTTCATTGCCACAAAGATGCACTGCTGGCTTGTGTTCAATGTGTTCTCCACCACATCCCGAGCCAGCTGGACCCTAGGCTGTGGAGGAGCATGGGGTTGTCCTGTTCTGGGTGTAGGGCTATGCACTTGTCCGTGTTGAATTTCACAGCACTGTTGTTGGCCCAGTCCTCCAACTTGGTGAGGGCCCTCCAGACAGAAGCCCTGCCCTCTTGTGTATCAATAGCCTACATGTCCTTTACTCCACAGAGTGGGGATGTGCTTGGAAAACAGAGCTGTGTTGTGGTGGGAACAAATGTGGAACAACACTCACAGAAACGGGCAGTGCCTTGGCTTTTTGATGCATAGGTTTTCTTGCAGAACAGAAACACAGCCATGGCCTGCTCTCCTTGGAGTGGCACAAGGGAATTTGGCAGGGAGCTTAGAGGAGCAAGCCGAGTGTCTTGCTGGTGGCTGCTGCTGTGGTGCATGTGGATGCCTATTACTTTCACTTCAGTATCTGAAAGTAGCTTTGGATGCTGTTCTCTCTGTTCAGTACCCTCCCACCAAAATATGTTCATCCTGCTGGAGAATAGCTTTGGTGATGGGTAGCTGTTGAGCTGTGTGTGAAGGTGAAGTGCCCACCTGGGGCAGGAAACAAAGTTAGCTGCCCTGATACTGAGCCACAGGTCACGACTGTCTATTCATTTGGTCCTCCTTTGTGTGTACTTGGCACAGCACATTTCTAACCTGAGGCTGCAATTTTTGTTGTACTGTGCTGTCAGGCTATGCCAGTGCACTTGTCCTCCTGTCCTCCAGCATCTAACAACTGTGTCCCAGTTTCACAGTCACTCTGCTGGCAGGAAACTTGTGTTCTCAAAAACACCTGTGTTACTTTTAAAGACCTCACCCTCCCTATTTAGAATCCTAGAGAAAATTGTGTGTCTTACGTTACTCACCACAAGCACTATGAACCCTGCTGCTCGTGCTACATTACTTTTTCTTTATCCTTTCCTCTTCCAGATAAATCGTCAGTGCTGGTGCCAAAGGTTTTCCACCGGGCAGAACATGGCTGATGCTCTGCAGTGCTCCCATCTCTCCAGTTGTGGAGTTGCATGCTGACAGGGATCGATGGGACTTTGGACTCTGAAATGCTGTGGGGCGGGGGCAGCTCCCAGGTGGGGGCCTTGTGGCTGGAGTGGATGCAGTCACCTGGAGGTCGTGGACAACAACAAGGCATGAAGCAAAACGATTGCTGCAGATGGCAGGGCCACTGGCCAGAGGGGAAGCACTGGGGATAGGATTCTGTGGACCCATTGATCGCGTGTTGAAAACCCATTTGGATCTCATGATGAATGTAAAAACGTTCTTGGTACCATTTAATTCAGACCTGCTTGGAGGAAAGTCTCTTGAAATGAGCTGTAGCGGGATTCCCTGGATTTGTTCCTGGACAAGTGAGTTTTGTGGCAGTTGGCCAATGCTTTGTTGGGGAGGGGGTTGATGCTGTCAAGCCTTTAAGATTGCTCCACTGCAAAACAGTTGGCTGTGTCCCACACAGCAGGCTTGGGTGGTGGCCGGCAGAGTGGGAGGAGAAGCAGGCTTGGAAATGTTTCCAGCCTTGTGCATTCACATACGCTGTGCCGTGAAGCAGTAAGGATGTGTTGTAATCACACAGGGATGGAAGAAGGGCAGTCAGTGTGCCCCTGGCACCTGCCATTCCTTATCACTAGCCCCCAACAGCTCATGGTCTGCCACGTCTGGATGCTCTGCAGTTGCCATTGCAGTACTCTCCATGCACTGTGGCCACTAGAGCAGCAGAAACCTAGATCTGGGTCCTCCTCCTAGCAAAGCCACCCAGGCATCTTTGAGCTGAGATCTAGTGAAGCAGTGTGTGGCTGTGTTGTACAAACTGGCCCTGATCCCCTTGGGCTGGCCCTGGCAGCCGTGCTTCATGGGCAGCCATTCTCCCCTGGGCCAGATGTGGGAAAGGGCAGGCTGAGCACTGGCATCACAGTGCTGGTTTCTCTCCTGACTAGGTGGTTTTGAGGACTTCTAAGATGCTGCTGTCAGTTTGTGCTCTACAGCTGAGCCCTGATAACTGGACTGTATGAGTCCTGCTCCATGCAGATATTTGACTGAGCATAAATCAAATAGGAGGCAGGCATTTCCAGAGCCAGGATCCCTTCATCAGATGCTGGCGGAGGTCTGAGAGATGAGGGACTTAAAATGCTTGTGGTAATGTACAGCTCTTAACCCTTGGGGCTGTGATGGCAGGCATGGGGCAGAGGCCCTTTCCCCCAGACCTGGGATGTGCGATGCTGGTCAGCAGGCAGTCCCCACCAGGATGCGGGCTGGCCAGGCCCGCAACCAGTGCAAGACAGAGACATGCATCCTGCTGGGACCTGCTGCTGTTGCACAGGTGACGTTCCCCTGGCTTCTGGTCCTTCAAATACTAGCCTTGTGTGCAGGGAACTTAACCCTGGGAAATGCAGGGCAGAATCCACTCTAGTGGGGAATTGCAGGGGCCAGGTGGAAGAAACCAAGCCATTGTGCCTCCCTTCAGGGGCGAAAGCTGCCAAATAATAGCTGGCAGCTCAGTCAGCTTTGCATCTCTTCAGGGTATCGTTCTAGCTGGGGAGAGAGCTTGGGTTCAGATTTGATATGTTGACCTGCCGCCTCTGGCAGTGGACATTTGAACCTTTCTTGTGGCAGTGAGAAGCATTAATTGATTGTGCTTCTGTATTGCTGTAGATAAATTGGGGACTAGAAATTGCCTGTGGTGTCTGGAGGGAGTGAAAGGGAGGTGAGATCTTTGAATGGTGTCAGGAATAGTGCTAGGAAACTCCCTTGTCCTGAGTCTTGCTGCCCATGAGACATGAAGGGCCCTGGTATAGCCAGAACTTAAGTTAGAACATTCCCTACTGTCACCTCCCGTGCTGGGTGGCCACCTCCTCCTCTCTTTGCTGCTATTCACCTCTCTCTTTCTGTTCTCCATAGGAAGAAACTAGCGATTGTTGCTGTGACGTTGCGTGGAAACCACGTTGTAAAGAAACCACAAACTGGAATCCTTTTCCAGCCGGAGGCCTGTTTCCCAGTGTGCCCATCTGGTCTGGAATGCGTGAGCATTGAAGGAGTGAGAGGACAGAGCAGACGTCTTACAGCCTGCTCCTTGGGACCGCAGCCCTCCTGCCAGGGCATGCCACCTCAGCAGGAGCACGGCATTACCTGGCCTTTGCGGGCACTCAGTATGCTGTGTGCACTGAAGCCGTAATGCTGGGAGTGTGGCAGTGTGGAGATCAGTCTAGTTGGGTCTATTTAATATGAAATGGTGATCGCTCATCCGCCCACTGTTTAGTAACTGGCGTAACTGTGTTTTCATCTGTATTTTTTTAATATGCAAAAGCCATTTAATTTTCTATGCAGTTCAAAAACGTCTCCGCTTTGCGACTGCCAGGGGGGAGATCTGTGCAGGAGAACCAAGCCAAGTGGCTGATAGTTCTTTTGATTTTGCTGTCGCTCTCTTTTAAGGATGCATCCTGGAGTCCTCTGCACACTGTGTCCCTTTACTGAGCTCCTGCCTGTTAGACCCCACTTAACATCCCTGAGCCCCAGGGATGAGGGCCCCATATTTTTGAAGGATCTGTCATTTTTCATGAGTCAAGCCACAAGGAAAGAGGGCTTGAAGGCAGTGCCCTAAGAGCAGAGATACCTGAGTTCAGAGCATGTATTATATTCCTGTTCTTGTCCCTGCTTGGAGAGTTACTGAACTGTTAGAAATGACTAAGGTCTCTGCGGAGCACCCTGCAGCCTTTACTGAAAGTGTATGAAGAGGGCAGAAAGGACCGGGGCATCAATTGTCTCCCCATGGAGCTGGCAGTGAATTTAACCCATTTGGAATAGGAGGAGAAGCTCCTGGTACTAGATGCCTACTTCACTCGAGAGGACTGCGCTGGTTTTGCTTATTGGTTTGCAGACCCCTTGCTTGTTGACCAGTTGATTTCCTACTGAAACTGGTGCAGACAGGTTTGGAAGCAGAGCTGGCGAGTTGCTTTGCACTGCAGGTCTTTAAGCACCTGGAACGTGTCCTGGAGTACCTTGTGTTATGCTCTGAAGCAAAACCTGGGATTCAAACCTGCATCCGTCCAAGCGAAACTCCCAGGATAGCAGCTTTGCCTTCTGCTGGGTCTGTGTAACACGTGAGAAATTACATGTCCCTAAGCAGCACACAAATCTGTTGAGGCAGAGTGAGAGGGAGCCCGAACGGTGATGCTGCACATCTAGCTCATCTTAGGGCTTGCAGGGGTACTTGGAGGCCTCTGGCAACTGCAGAGGGTCCTGGGTGATGGAACACCTCTGCTTTAACTGGACTAAAGGCAAAAAGGTCAGAGAAATAAGATTGTTTCCAACTGCCACAAGGCCAGGAGCCTTTAAGATTCCACTGCAAAACAGTTGGCTGTGTCCCACACAGCAGGCTTGGGTGGTGGCCGGCAGAGTGGGAGGAGAAGCAGGCTTGGAAATGTTTCCAGCCTTGTGCATTCACATACGCTGTGCCGTGAAGCAGTAAGGATGTGTTGTAATCACACAGGGATGGAAGAAGGGCAGTCAGTGAGCCCCTGGCACCTGCCATTCCTTATCACTAGCCCCCAACAGCTCATGGTCTGCCACGTCTGGATGCTCTGCAGTTGCCATTGCAGTACTCTCCATGCACTGTGGCCACTAGAGCAGCAGAAACCTAGATCTGGGTCCTCCTCCTAGCAAAGCCACCCAGGCATCTTTGAGCTGAGATCTAGTGAAGCAGTGTGTGGCTGTGTTGTACAAACTGGCCCTGATCCCCTTGGGCTGGCCCTGGCAGCCGTGCTTCATGGGCAGCCATTCTCCCCTGGGCCAGATGTGGGAAAGGGCAGGCTGAGCACTGGCATCACAGTGCTGGTTTCTCTCCTGACTAGGTGGTTTTGAGGACTTCTAAGATGCTGCTGTCAGTTTGTGCTCTACAGCTGAGCCCTGATAACTGGACTGTATGAGTCCTGCTCCATGCAGATATTTGACTGAGCATAAATCAAATAGGAGGCAGGCATTTCCAGAGCCAGGATCCCTTCATCAGATGCTGGCGGAGGTCTGAGAGATGAGGGACTTAAAATGCTTGTGGTAATGTACAGCTCTTAACCCTTGGGGCTGTGATGGCAGGCATGGGGCAGAGGCCCTTTCCCCCAGACCTGGGATGTGCGATGCTGGTCAGCAGGCAGTCCCCACCAGGATGCGGGCTGGCCAGGCCCGCAACCAGTGCAAGACAGAGACATGCATCCTGCTGGGACCTGCTGCTGTTGCACAGGTGACGTTCCCCTGGCTTCTGGTCCTTCAAATACTAGCCTTGTGTGCAGGGAACTTAACCCTGGGAAATGCAGGGCAGAATCCACTCTAGTGGGGAATTGCAGGGGCCAGGTGGAAGAAACCAAGCCATTGTGCCTCCCTTCAGGGGCGAAAGCTGCCAAATAATAGCTGGCAGCTCAGTCAGCTTTGCATCTCTTCAGGGTATCGTTCTAGCTGGGGAGAGAGCTTGGGTTCAGATTTGATATGTTGACCTGCCGCCTCTGGCAGTGGACATTTGAACCTTTCTTGTGGCAGTGAGAAGCATTAATTGATTGTGCTTCTGTATTGCTGTAGATAAATTGGGGACTAGAAATTGCCTGTGGTGTCTGGAGGGAGTGAAAGGGAGGTGAGATCTTTGAATGGTGTCAGGAATAGTGCTAGGAAACTCCCTTGTCCTGAGTCTTGCTGCCCATGAGACATGAAGGGCCCTGGTATAGCCAGAACTTAAGTTAGAACATTCCCTACTGTCACCTCCCGTGCTGGGTGGCCACCTCCTCCTCTCTTTGCTGCTATTCACCTCTCTCTTTCTGTTCTCCATAGGAAGAAACTAGCGATTGTTGCTGTGACGTTGCGTGGAAACCACGTTGTAAAGAAACCACAAACTGGAATCCTTTTCCAGCCGGAGGCCTGTTTCCCAGTGTGCCCATCTGGTCTGGAATGCGTGAGCATTGAAGGAGTGAGAGGACAGAGCAGACGTCTTACAGCCTGCTCCTTGGGACCGCAGCCCTCCTGCCAGGGCATGCCACCTCAGCAGGAGCACGGCATTACCTGGCCTTTGCGGGCACTCAGTATGCTGTGTGCACTGAAGCCGTAATGCTGGGAGTGTGGCAGTGTGGAGATCAGTCTAGTTGGGTCTATTTAATATGAAATGGTGATCGCTCATCCGCCCACTGTTTAGTAACTGGCGTAACTGTGTTTTCATCTGTATTTTTTTAATATGCAAAAGCCATTTAATTTTCTATGCAGTTCAAAAACGTCTCCGCTTTGCGACTGCCAGGGGGGAGATCTGTGCAGGAGAACCAAGCCAAGTGGCTGATAGTTCTTTTGATTTTGCTGTCGCTCTCTTTTAAGGATGCATCCTGGAGTCCTCTGCACACTGTGTCCCTTTACTGAGCTCCTGCCTGTTAGACCCCACTTAACATCCCTGAGCCCCAGGGATGAGGGCCCCATATTTTTGAAGGATCTGTCATTTTTCATGAGTCAAGCCACAAGGAAAGAGGGCTTGAAGGCAGTGCCCTAAGAGCAGAGATACCTGAGTTCAGAGCATGTATTATATTCCTGTTCTTGTCCCTGCTTGGAGAGTTACTGAACTGTTAGAAATGACTAAGGTCTCTGCGGAGCACCCTGCAGCCTTTACTGAAAGTGTATGAAGAGGGCAGAAAGGACCGGGGCATCAATTGTCTCCCCATGGAGCTGGCAGTGAATTTAACCCATTTGGAATAGGAGGAGAAGCTCCTGGTACTAGATGCCTACTTCACTCGAGAGGACTGCGCTGGTTTTGCTTATTGGTTTGCAGACCCCTTGCTTGTTGACCAGTTGATTTCCTACTGAAACTGGTGCAGACAGGTTTGGAAGCAGAGCTGGCGAGTTGCTTTGCACTGCAGGTCTTTAAGCACCTGGAACGTGTCCTGGAGTACCTTGTGTTATGCTCTGAAGCAAAACCTGGGATTCAAACCTGCATCCGTCCAAGCGAAACTCCCAGGATAGCAGCTTTGCCTTCTGCTGGGTCTGTGTAACACGTGAGAAATTACATGTCCCTAAGCAGCACACAAATCTGTTGAGGCAGAGTGAGAGGGAGCCCGAACGGTGATGCTGCACATCTAGCTCATCTTAGGGCTTGCAGGGGTACTTGGAGGCCTCTGGCAACTGCAGAGGGTCCTGGGTGATGGAACACCTCTGCTTTAACTGGACTAAAGGCAAAAAGGTCAGAGAAATAAGATTGTTTCCAACTGCCACAAGGCCAGGATGCGTTTGACTAGTCTCCTTTCGTGGCAATGCTATTCTTTCTGCATTCTGTCTCTGCTCTGAGCTTGGGGGATTCAGCTTTAAAGTTAAACAGAAATAGAGACCAGATTGGGATTTAACCTGCCTTGTGGTCTCTCAAATCAGATGGAAGAGACTGGGGGCTGCGGAAGCACAGGTCGATCTCCCTTGCAGCATCCCCCATGCTACAGTTCCACGGTGGCTGTGAAAACTCAATAGTGCATTTGGGTGCTGCTTTCCCAGGAATCCAAGATGCACTTGGCTGTGCTGTAGCACCAGAGCTTACATGGGGTCCCTGTTCCCTTCCCCTTTGTACCTCTGAGGTGGTTAAAATTTGTCAGAGCAGTAGGGGCTCCTCACTGTGATGAGACAGATACGGTTGTATTAAAGGGAACTGCAAATGGTCTTTAGGAACTCACTAAGTGAGGTGGAAACCCACCGGCTCGCTCCTGCAGAGCCAGATCCCAGAGCTCAGCTCCTCCCGTGCCCTTTGGATAGGATCTTGGGCTGACATCCTTGGAACGGCAGTGCGGGGAGGTGGAGATGCTGCACTGCAGTAAGCACAAGAAGAGGCAAGCAAGCGGGCCTCAGTGTAGCACTCATCACGCGCTTCATGGCTCAGTTCATGGACTGTAATTGCAGGTATTCATATAATCTACATCACTGGGCAGGACTCTGCGCACACACACATGCATGCCCAGACATACATGCACCACACCCACATTCGCCCACACATCCTCGCCAAAACGACTGAAAATAAAAGTGATCTCAATCTCAAGGAGAGGCCTGGCTGTTTGATTTGTTTTTCCTGTTCCAGTGCCTCCTTGGGCCCTGCCTCTGGAAGGGTCTGCGCCTAATCGTAGATCTGGAGTTTTCTGAATCCAGGAGCCAGAGCTTTTAGGAGCACTGTTAGCAAATGACTCACAAAATCATCAAGAGATTTGGCATTGAATGAATCTGAGCATGGAGCCCCTTGTTTGGATTAACATCTGTGAACCATTTCCCACTCCAGCAAAGCAGGTGATTTCTGGGGAACAGCTTTTTCCCTACGGTGTTTAGGGTGTTTTGTGGGTTTGTGAGGCCAGCTCGCAGTTCTCATTGGTACCATGTTGTTTGCTTTCTTGTAAAGCTTGGTTCCTTGCAAACCATGCTCAAGTGCCATGTTGTTCAGAGGCAAGAGCAATAAGGCAGATGGCCCTCTGCTTGCCAATATGGGCGTTAGTGGGAGTGCCAGGAGGGTGAATTCAAAGTAGGGAGTGAGTCCCCTCCCACATAGCCCCGAGCAGCTGTGTGTGACCCCACTTCCATCACCACCCTCATCTGGAAGAGAAGACAAGACAGACCTCCATGGCAACCCCAACGAACACAGCCATACTGCGCAGCAGGTCTAGGGGACGGGATGGCAGTATCTGCAACAAGATGCTGGCATGCCAGAGCGAGACAGGAGGCGAGACTGTGGGCGGGTGGCTAGGCCCCAGCCGCAGCAGGGCAGAGGAGATGCCAGGCTCTTTAGGGGCTGGTAGATGTGGAGGTGTCGGGGTGCTTGCATCAGTCAGGTGGGTGCCATGTATGCGTCGGCCTCCATCGCCAAGGAACAGAAGAGAAATCAAGGATGTGCCTAGACTGCGCTCCAGGGCTGTGGGAAGCACCAGCAGAAAATTAACTGACCCATGATGGACAGAGAGGTCTGCTCCCTTTGCCTTCACCTCCCTGCCGACAAGACTCGGAGAGCTCACACATGTCTGGTGCCATCCACCCCACCCCACTTGTTTGACTGCGGATTAAGGGATATGGGAAAGAGCACGAGGCAACTTCCCTGGGCAGGGAGGGGATGCAGGCCAGCTGAATCGCTCTGGTGGCCGGGATCTGGCCACCCACACCCCATGGGTGTCCCAGATCCGTGTTCAGGATGCCCTGTGCAGTCAGGAGAGGAACATGGAAGCACAAATGAGGTGTCTGTCCAGTGTGTTTTTCCCATAACATGGCCAGAGCTTCCAGAAAGCTGCTGTGACCCCAAAACCAGGAGGCTACTCAGCAAAAGCTCAGGAGGGCCGATGGCAGGAGCACGAAGGCAGAGGTGCTGCCGCAGAGGAGCGGGGCCCAGGGCTGGCGAGACCCAGGGCTGCCTTTGAGCCCGCCGGGACAGGCAGGGGGTGAGGCAGGCCGGGCACGCGTGGCACGTGCCCACGACCATTTTTTTATCCCCGACGGGGTAGGCGGGAGCCGGGGCCCGGGCCGGGGCCGAGCAGCTGTTGGGGTCTCACGAAGCACAGCGCCCGCGGGGGCCCGGCGAGAGGGGAGGCGGCGGCGTGAGGCGGCGGCGGGGCCGCCCCACCGCCCAGGGGCGGGCCCCGCGCT